TTTCACAAAACAGTGGCACCCATGTAACCAACACCAAGATCAAGAAACTTACCAGGATGCCAGAATGTCCCTTCAGGCCCCCTTCGGTTACCACTCCTCCCCCGGAATGACCATTATTCGGACTTATAGCTACACAGATTTGACCTGGGTGGGTGTTGCGGCTCGGTGTCTTGTGGGGTGCTCTCAGCTGTGCACTTGGCTTTACACTTCTAGACTTGGCCGAAGTTTAGGGCACCTGCTGCTTTGACCTGCGGGTGACAGCTACTTGTAGCTAAGAAAGACAGGAATTTATGCACAGGTCAGAAGTCTCCTTTGGGTCTCACTGGGCTAAAATCAAAGCACAGCTGAGTTCCCTCTGGAGGCTCCAGCAGAGAATCAGTTCCTTGCCTTTTCCAGCTTCTGGAGGCTGCTGTGTTCCTGGCTGTGGCCCCTTCCTCTGTCATCAGTGGTCCGTCCCTCTAATCCTCCCTCTGACTACAGCCAGGAAAGGCTCTCAGCTCTAAGGAACTAAGTGGACTGGGCCCACCCTGACAGTCCAGGCCCATCTCCCCACCTCCAGGCTAGAGCTCACTTACAACTGCAGTCTTTTTTTGCCAGGTAGGGTTCAGCTTCCCAGGTTCAGGGCATTAGGGCACAGACATCCTCAGTGGTCCAGGAAAGGCGAGCGCCGCCCCTACCTACCACAGGGAGAGGAGTGAAAGAACACTCTGCTCCTTACATATCTGGTAGGACTCTTGGGTGAAGCCATCTCGGCCTAAACTTTGAGGATCTTAATTATGGATTATCTGTTATCATGAGACTATTAATTTTTTATCAGTTTTTTAAATGAATTATCATTTCTTCTGTATTTTCAATTTTATTTATGACATCTTAATGTCTAACAGGATCTGTAGAGTGACATTTTCTTTTTTCATTCCCATTGTTTCTGCCTTTTAACTTTTACTTTTTAAGAAAAAATATCAGGCTTATTTGCGGTATATGAACGTTTTCCACCACTCCAAGAGGTTTCCTTGTGTGCCTGTGAAGTCAATCCAGCTAACCAACCACAATTTCTGTCTCTATAGTTTTGCTTTGACAAAAATGTCACATAAATGGAGTCACAGAGCCATTTGCGTTTGGCTTTAGCGTTAATACTTTCGGATTTATTCACACGTCTACATGTGCCAGTGTAGCTTGTTTATACACTCATCAGTTGATGGACATTTGGGTTGTTACCAGTTTGGCAGACTATGGAAAAAGCTGGTATAAACATTTCAGTACAGGTCTTTGTATGAACAAACATTTTCATTTATCTTGAATACATTTTTAGGACTGGAATTGCTGGCTTGTACATGACAGTCAGACCAATGTCCCCCTAGATCTCAATCTCTGGAACGTTTGAAGGTTAGGTTACATGGCAAGGGAAACTGAGGTTGCTAGCCAGCAGATAGAGAGATGTTGCTAGTGGGCCCCATGCAATCACCAGGGTCTCTGAAAGCTGGAAGAGGGAGGCAAGAGGAAAAGGTCAGACTGAGGTCATGTGAGGATTCAACTCACCACTGCTGACTCTGAAGATGGAGGAAGCAATCATGAGTCAAGGAATGTGGGCAGCTTCTAAGAAGCAGGAAAAGGCAGAGGATTCTCCCCTAGGGCTCTCAGAAGGCACACAACCCTGGCCACACTTTGATTTTAGCCACGTGAGACCCATGTCAGCCTTCTGGCCTCCAAAACTGTAATACTGTGTTTTTTAAGCCACTAAGTTTGTGGCAATTTGTAATAGCAGCTGTAGAAAACTAACACATATAGTGAGGGAACAGGAAACTGCCAGACTTCCTGAAATGGCTGAACCATTTTGCATTCCCACCAGCAATGGTCATCATTCCACAACAACCCCCCCCTTTTTTGGTCAGGTTTGTTGTTGTTTTCAACTTAAGCCATTCTATGCCTCTTTCCTTTCTTCTTGGTCATTCTTCCCATGGTTTATCAATTTTAATAATAAAAATATAAGAACTTTGATTTTTTTTCTTATTTCATTAATTCCTGAAATCCTGTTTTCATCTTTATTGTTTGCTTTGGGTTTAGTTTACTATTTTCTTCCTAACTTCTTGAGATGAATGTGTACAGCACTGGTCTTCAGCCTTTTCCCTAATACTAGCCTTTAGGATTATAAATTTTGACTCAAGAATGGCTTTAGCTGCTTCTCACAAGTTATGATGTATAATATTTTCATTATCATTCAGCTCAAGATATTTTTCTAATTTCCTTTTTGATTTCTTCTCTGACCAATGGGTTACTTAGAAGTGAATTAGTTTCCAAACATGAGAATTTTTGTTATTACTGATTTCTCTTAATTATAATATGATCAGGGAACACAGTCTACATGATATAACTCCTTTAGAAGGTACTCAGGCTCGCTTTGTAGTCAAATGTCCTAGTCAGTTTTCATAAATGTTCCTGAAAGCAGTGTGTGTTCTGTGATTTGGGATACACTGCTCTGTAATTGTTCACCAGGCCAATGTGGCTGAATGTTTTCTTCAAGGCTCCCATATCTGTACCAATATTGGTCAGCTTAGTCTATCATACACAAAAGGTGTGTGAAAATCTCCCACCGAGGGTGGATTTGCATACTTCTACATGTATTCTCATCATTTGTGCTTTAAACATGCTAAGTCTGTTACGTACATATGAATTTAGAATTTTTATATATTCTCTGACTTGAGAAATCTATCTCCCATCTCTAACAATGCTTTTGCCTTAAAGTTTTTTTAATACATAGAAAATACATACACATTAGCTTTTGACTGGAGTCTGCATGATGTACCTTTTCCTATCTTTTGTCTATGAAGACAGAGAAAGTTTCAGACTTCTCTTGTCAAATGCTCATAGATGATTTTTAAAGACTTGCACCTTAAAAAAATTACAGCATATAATCCATGTAATTACTTATTTAATTGGGTCTAAATCTACCATATTACTAAACGCTTTCTGGTTGTCATACCTGTTTTGTTTCCTTTGTTTGCTTTTGGATGATCATTTATTGGACCAGTGTTCCTTCTACTGACTTGAAAGTCACACACTTTGCCATGTCTACGTGCACTCCAAGTCTCATGTTATGGGCTGACAGGGACTCTCAGTTAATGCAAGAACTTTAGATTACTCAATTTACCCCCTTCCCCCAATTTATATGCCACTCTAGTCTTGTATTTTAGTTCTCTCTGTATTTCCATCTCCACAAGACATTGTTTTGCGTCATCATTCATTTTGATTTATCCAGATGGCTACCATTTCCATTACCATATATACCTTTCTGCATCTGTATTTTTTAAAACACTCCTTATTTATTCTACTGCATGCTGTATTAAGAACTGCTTGCCTGGGCTGCAGTCTCTCTACTGAGTCAGCCAGCCCAGGCCAGTCCCAGCTCCTCCAGTACCTCTTTCCTGTGAACCCTGGAGGAGTATCTGACCAGGTGAGGTCAAATCTTTCCATGGCTCCTACTGCCTAGTGGATTGGGTTTATAAACTCTTTCTTGATCTGTCCCTTACCTAATTCTAAAATCTCATCCTTACTTATGTCCCACATCTGCCCTATACTCTCTACTCATAGTTAGCGATTTTCTAGAGTACCCAGATTTTATCAAAAACATGCTATTCCTTGTACCTGGATTGCCATTCTCCATTTGTATCTGAAAAACTGCTTCTAATCCTTCAAGACCCAGTCACTTCCCTGGGTGCTTTCTTGTGCTCTGTGGATGGAGGCCGAAGCCCTTCTGAGAGCACTCTATGCATAAATCTGCTCTCTTGTTACTGTTCTGGTTGCTCCGTGAGGGCAGGACTAGCTTTATACATGCATATATCCCCATTTCCTAGCCCAATAGGAAAATAGGGCCTAAACTGAGATCATCCTCCAAAAGGGGATTATACTCCCCGTGTTGTTCTGAAGCTGAAATCATAGTCTATGTGAAAGAGCTTGAAAAATCAGATAAGTATGTGAAGATTAATGGTTGGTAGCGAGTGGTAACTATTTCACATGCTTTATGGAAAAAAAATTTAAACAAAACATGTCTAGCTTTATTTTGTTCCCAGGAAATTTAAGTATCAGGAGATCATAACTTAGTCACCTTGTGCCTGAATAGTGAGAAATAGATCAGCTTTGTAAGGAGAATCTGAATGTTGTTAATTGTTCTAAAAATTTTGTTCTTTGCAGGGTAACTCTTTTAAAAGAAAATCTTACCTGGAATCCCAAATACATTACATCATTCACGTTGTGAATGAAGCACATGTGCTGAGTCTTTCTCACAGCAGTCACTAGCAGCACAAAATGATTACCCCTCTGCTAAGTTCAGAGTTTTGGGCAGGTTTCCATAATCTCTTCAACTAGAGAACTGAATAACTTTGTTTTAACATGCCAACAACCAATCTGGCATTTAAAAGTAACTTTATTAAAGTTGAGGATAGCTGTTTAATACACAATTTGATATAATAAATCTACAGCTAGCCACCACTCACATCACATAATTGAGCTTCTGGCATGACACTCTCCTTGGCTAACGCTCAGCGTTGTGCCAGTGGCTGGGCTCTGTACAACAGGCTACCTGCCCTCATGGACTCACCGGCTCTCCTGCTCCCACCTTCCAGAACTTGGGAATTACTGATCCTGAGGAGAAAGTTCAGAGCTTTTTCTGTGGTACTTACAACTTACTTTACTAAAGTTTTAAAAGGCTAAGAGACATTTGTGAATTTCAAACGTAAAACTGGAATTTAAAGTGTTTGTCCAGATAAATTGTACTATGAAATGAAAGGTTTTATTTGCAACTTACACAACTTCATGAAAAAATACACTGCTCAGAATCTGACATAGGCTAAGTAAAAAACATTTTTTTTCTGAAAAATATGGGTAATATATACTTCTGTCTTAAAATAATTCAAACACATGATTAAATGAACGAATTTTGATAAAATGTTTAAGATGACAGTTTGCTAAAAAGAAAAGTTATCTAACCACATTTGAGTAAATATATAGATATATATTTTATTTGTCAAGAGTAAATGTCAATTTTATTTAGAATTCAAGTACAAAAAATGAAAATTTATATACCAATGACTGTTAAGAAAAAATTAGAAGGCATTAAATTGTTCTAAGAATACTACAAAGGCAATGAATTCAAATATCCCTTAATATATGGATTATCTAAATTTTCATTTTTAATATGCAGTTGCTCACAGTTATTTTTTTAAGAAATATTTTTAATAAGATGATTCTACCTTATGATTTTTCCCCTGGAAAACAGAGTTTTAAACAACAAGTATGTAAAACATTCTAATGAAATAGAGTGGCAATACCCCAGGTTCAAAGGTACTCATCACTAGAAAATGGATTTATACCTAGGTGTTTTTACTTTTACACACATCTTGTTTCATCACAACAATACATCAACCACAATAAGGCACACTGAACTGTGGAAGGCCATGTTACATAATTTGATACAAAAGCTTAGGATCATGTTACCAATTGGATAATGGTATCAAAAATTAAAAAGTTCTATGAAACTATTAAAGAGGTTAGAGCTTCAGGTACATAATACATTTTAAAACATACTTCCCAAAATTTACCTTTAGTATGTACAAAAAAGGAGTTCATCTTGGAATATAAATGCAATCAGATAGCCATATAATGAATGACTTCTGTATTTTCAATGGCACTGACACTTTGCTCTGTGGTACAATGCACGTAAGTGACAATAACTGGGCAGCAGGAGAAATGATTTAGATTCATCACAAACCAGCAACTTGAAAACTTCTAACAACAGTGAATATAAAAGTGATATCACCCACTGTGGTTTATGTATTAACCTTATACTTAAAAATATTTTTCCATAAATGGCAGTAACTACAGCCATTTGCCAGATATAGAATAAATGATACAGCAAATAAAAACAGCAAGAAAATCAAAGCATACTTCTAACATTTTAATAATTTTTGCTTGTGATGACTTTCTGTGATCTGGAACCTTTGTTTTACATAAAACTGGAGCTGGAAAGAGAAGAAAAGACCTTTTGATTGGTACAATAAAAAAAAACATATAGGAAATAGAAATTACTAGAATCATTAGTTTTACAAGGTAAGCTTTTACAGAAAGAGAAAATATACATCTAATATACTATAGATATCTTTGGAAAATAAAAAATAAAAAAACATCCAACTCCATTTTCTTGAATATGAATTCTTTTGAGCTCTCAAAAAAACTATGGGCTTGGCCCTGACTTTATAAACAAGAGCACATGCTAACAGTGGTCTTTAAGTGGAGCAGGGCAACAATTCTTACAAAGCAAATGCAAACTGTCTTTCATATATGGAAGAAACTTGGGGAATCGAATCCAATTTTAGTAACACTGGATTGAGGTGAGAGGATAAGAACAGGTAAAAGGTCCCTCAGCTTTATAATTCAAAGCATATCTTAAAGCAGTAATAAACTATAGTTTATCATTTGAAATTCAATGATTGAGTAAAACATAACTATTAAGTCATATTCATTCTTTTGACAAATAATTGCATGTCCACTATATAGCAGGCACTGTTCTAGGCTCTGGGGATGGATGCATCAATGAACAAAACAAGATCCATGCCCATGTAGAACTTATATTGAAAGATCAGATGTGAGAATTCATTCCTTCTCTTTTCCCCACAAACCATAAAATCCACAGGTCAGTTAAACCCACGAAAACTCTGTGGATTTACTTCTCCATAGTTCAAAAATGGAAAGCTGCCATGGGCCAACATTATGTTTTCCTAATTATTTTTAAGTTAAATTATAGTATTCTGAAAATGCGGGATTTGAAATAAGATGTGATGATAAAATTAAACCAAAAATGTTGCTCTGTGAGGAACAAAAGGAGAGCTGGATGCTGCCAAAGCAGAGGTAGCTGGAGTAAACTAAGGCAAAGAGTCACCAAGAAGCACTCAACAGAACAAGTCAGGGATGAATTTCAAGAACAGTCAAATAGGCAAAATGACAAGGACATTTTAAGTGGGAGAAATAAAGGATATAAAGTATAGAAAAGGAAAAAAAACTTATTTTCTAAAACTTTGGTAACTTTGATTTTAACACATACCCCAAACCTATAAGCCTTGAGATTATCATCCAAATGCTACTCATGGCCGCCCCATCGTACAGGGACCCTCTCTACCTTCCTCTGCATCTTTACGTCCACCATTGGTTTCACAAGCTCTGACATCAAAGCACAGGAGTTCGAATCGATAGCCTGGTTCCCTTATTAAAATAAAAATTCTCACAAAATCATCATCAGTAGAATTTGTTAAAAAAATGAACTAAATTTTTCTTATCAAACATTATTTTACTTCTATGATTCCCTAACAAAGTATACAGCTTCCATTTAGACATGAAATTTAACATAACTAACAGCAGGTCAGCAGTTATTAGATGTGTACTAGAAACACAGGCTGGACAATGAAATAAGAGCAGCCATTTTTCCCCTCAGGTAGCTGGGCCTTTTTACATTATGATATATTTTGTTCATTCATTCATTTGCTCATTTTGGCAAATATTTACTAAGCACCTAATATGTGCCAGATGCTGTTCTAGATGCTGGGGAAATGGCAGTGAACAAGAGGGACAGGTCTCTGCCCTCCAGAAGCTGACATTTTAGTTGCCAGAGCCTGATACTATATAAGGAAACAGACTGTGATAAGCATAAGATCAAAGAGGGCAATGAAACAGAAAGTAATGGGGAAGGGGACCACCACAGTGGGGGTTTTGGGAATAGCTTACTTCTTACGGTCCTTGTCCTTCTTCAGGTTGCCGCCCGACGCCATGAAGGACTGGTTCTGGTATATCTCTGAGGTAGCTTTCTTTTTTGAGAAAGCAATTATTTCTTCTTCCAAGAGTCTTCTCTTCTCTTCAAGCTTCATTCTCTCTTCTTGGTGAACTCTTTTAAGGTGTTCAAATTTGGCCTGCAGCTGTGAAATAAAGGTACAATTCCCATTAATGACACAGTGTGGCAGCACACACACAGGAATGTTCTCCAGCTTAGCAACAATTGCTAACACTAACCTACACAGTAATCTACAAATTTTCCTGATGTCTCAAAAGTTCATGCTTGAAGTAAAAATGTACATATGAAACTGCCTTGGTAACTTTATTTTTTTGAAAGATTTTATTTGTTAGAGGGGTGCGTGGGTGGCTCAGTCATTAAGCATCTGCCTTCGGCTCAGGTAATGATCCCAGGGTCCTGGGATCGAGCCCCGCATAGGCTCCCTGCTCTGCGGGAAGCCTGCTTCTCCTTCTCCCACTCCCCCTGCTTGGGCTCCTTCTCTCACTGTGTCTCTCTCTGTCAAATAAATAAATAAAATCTTTAAAAAAAAAAAGGGAAAGAGAGAGAGCACAAGCAGGGGGAGAGGGAGAGGGAGAAGCAGACTCATACTGAGCAGGGAGCCCGATGTGGGACTCGATCCCAGGACCCTGGGATCATGACCTGACTGAAGGTAGACGCCTAACAACTAAGCCACCCAGGCGCCCAAGTAACTTTAATTTTAAATGAGTTCCCATGCAAAAAAATGCATGAACAAAAAAAATAAATAAAAAGCCACAGCCTCATGTAAAAACCTGTTTTTAAAACATTTGACCTTTTCTTAGAGTTTTTATTTTCTTGCTCTGGTATTTTCCCCACAAAACCTCTTCAAATAAACTTTCTAAAATCCATGTTCAATAAAAGTGAGGGACACAAAGCACAAAATCAAGTTATCAAAAAAACACCTTATTGTCCAAATAAAGTTACCAAGTATAGTGAAACAGTAAAAAGTTACATTGGTAAACCTACCTGGAAAGTGCCAAGTATCAATTTAAATCAAGAACCTTAAAAATCTATTACATTTTTCTCCAGTCATTCACCTTCTTGAAATCTAAAGTAAATCAAGAAATCCTAAACTTAGTAAGTTTTATTCATAAAAATACTCACTGTAGTAGAATTTATACCATAATGGGAAAAAACAGCCTGTGTCTAATAAAGTCAAAAAATAAATTTATGCAAAGTATACTCAATGCAGTCATTAAAATGAGTTTGTAAAAGATTATAACATTACACGGTGAAATTTCCCTAGTTTGGTGTTTATCTGGAAAAAAAAAAAATCTAGGGACGTGAGCAGATTCCCACATGAATCAGCTGTGTGCCTTGCCTGCCAAGAACACAAGTACAGCATCTAGAATCTAGAGCAAAAAAGGCAACTTTTAAAATTCTCTAATGTTGTTAGATTAACTTTAGTATTTTCAGTTCTGGGCAGCATTCATATAAAAAAGTAGTACTTGGGGCGCCTGGTGGCTCAGGCAGTTAAGCATCTGACTTCAGCTCAGGTCATGATCCCGGGGTCCTGGAATCCAGCCCCATATCAGGCTCCCTGCTCAGCGGGGAGTCTGCTTCTCCTTCTGCCCCTCCCCACCTTGCACATGTGCACGAAGGCGCTCCCTCTCTCTCTCTCAAATAAATAAAATCTCTCTAAAAAACAAAGTAGGACTTGGTTTCTAGAAAAGATGGCATATAATAACAGAAGAAATGTTTTACTAAAAATCAGAGGTTGAGGGGCACCTGGTTTGCCCAGATGGTTAAGCATCTGCCTTCGGCTCACTTCATGATCCCAGGGTCCTGGGATCGAGCCCCACATCGGGCTCCCTGCTCAGTAGAGTCTGCTTCTCCCTCTCCTTCTCCCCCTGCTTGTGCTCTCTTTCTCTCTCAAATGAAAAAATAAAATCTTTTTATTTTATCTTTAAATCTATCTATAAAATCTATTTATATTTATCTTTAAAAAAAGAAATCAGAGGCTGAGGGTGGAAACTGAAGAGCTAAACTCCATCCTAATAAAAATTAACTGTTCCAAATATGGAAGAGGTTGTGTTGTACACCAGTAAAGCTTGACTGGAGATGTATTTAAATGGAGAGAGAAAAGAACTGAAACAGATTAAGTAAGACCCTTCTACGCTAAGATTCTTTTATGCCTGAGGATGGCATTTCAGAGAAGCATCAGTTCCTTACTATTTGTTTATTTAAATAGTTCCTGCTTGTGCAAAAAGCTGTGTTTGTGTGTGTGTGTGTTTAAAGGGTGGGGTAATCTAGTTGTCATTCAAATCAGTGGTATAAACAAGAGAGTCACAACTCTCTGAGTATGTGTGCATTTCCTATAAATGTGGGAGAGGAGCTGAGTAAAGCCTGGAAAGACAGGATACAGGAGTGGATTTATATTATATTAATAAAGACATCTCTGATTACTTAAGTGGAGGCTGCATACTCTATATGCATAGTTAAATATCTTGAAAGGTTATAGGGTACTTCATATATCATTCATGAGGTTGACTAAAAATTGCAGAAATATTCTAAAGAGAAAAATGTTTTAAAAGGGGAGGTGGGGGGGGCGGGGTGCCTGGGTGGCTCAGATGGTTAAGTGTCTGTCTTCGGTTCAGGTCATGATCTCCAGGTCCTGGGATTGAGCCCCGCGTTAGGCTCCCAGCTCAGGGGGGAGTCTGCTTCTCTCTCTCCCTCTGCCTCTCCCCCCCCACCTTGTGTTCTGTCTTCTCTCTCAAATGAATAAATAAAATCTTTAAAAATAAAATCTTTAAAAAAATAAAAGGGGAGGCAGGGTAGGTGTGACATCACATCACGTGGAGTTCACAACTTTTGATAGCAACAGTCTACACCATATACGAGATTCACTCATGGTTCCACTATTCACTACAATAGGGATTTAATTCAAACATATTTTCAAATATTCAGAAGTAGTGTTTACAAAAGATATAGCAGTGTCCCATACTGATGATACTGTCTTAAGGGCACTGGTGAGAAGTTATCAACAGCACAGAGGTCTGTTTTCCTGACCTTGACTCTAAAGTATTTAATGATACTGACTTTACAGTATAAAAAATGGTCACGAAGTACCTTGTAATATTAATAAAGGGGCCTGGAATCTACTGCCTCTAATGCTATATAATAAAAAATTTAGAACTCTTGTGAGAATTTTGGTTGTTGATGCCTTAGGTTTACATTAACTTCATTTTTTGTGCTTCACAAAAAAGCACTTGAACCATAAAAATAAGTCTATAAAAGATCTGCTGACAAATAGTCTTTCTTTTTTTTCTTTTAACCATGTAGTTACCCTGAATTTTTAATTTCCTTTTAAATAATACATGTTTAAGCAAAATATTCTTATGTGGGATTTTAAAAATTAAAAACTCAACTAGAAACCATTTCTACATCTTTTCTCCTCACTGGAGAAACTAAGACTCATGATACATGAGAGATAAACTCGTAAATAAGGAGTTTTACTCTACTACCATCTTAAAGATGAATCTACTAATGAAAAAAAAATCAGCATCCTTATTTCCTACTCATCACAACTCTTTCCTCAATATTTATATTTAAAAATAACTCAAAACTAGGGGACTATTCTCCCATACAAGAGACTAAACAAAGAGAATACCCAAATGTGACACGAGACCTCCAACTGAATTCCAGTTCAAAAACAAAAGTAAAAAAAAATCACCAAAAAAAACAAAACAAAACAAAACAAAAAAAGCCACACAATAAAAGGTCATCTTGGGGCAACTGGGGAAGTGTGAATGTCGACTGGAGAACAGGTGAGATTATGGCATTCCTATTAATTTTCTTAGGTGTAAAAAAAATTTTTTTTTCCTTAGGTATAATACTGGAACAATGGTTATGGAGGAAAATGTGCCTAAGCTTCAGAGATGCATACTGAAGGGCCTCGGGATAAAGTGTCATAATCATAATGTCTATAATCAGCTTTCAGATGACCAGGAAAAACATACATCCTCCTCTCAGATGCATACACACCCATTTATAAAATACAGATGGCAAATTCCCTTTTGAGCTAATCCTTTTTGACCATCATCTTGAATATGGCCATTTCACTTAAAAGTAGCCATTGTGGTTAGGTCTATAGAAAATAGCTTAATTCAAATAAAAGTAAAATTATTGCCTGAAGAACTAGAAGCAAACAGTACTATGGAAATTAACTGTGATGTTTATGTGTATGCATGAGCACATGTGCACCAAGGCTATCCAAAGGTCATTTGACCACCTGACTCGTGGAAAGCCTGACTTCAAACTGAAAGAGCTACTTAACTGCTTTCATAGTTACCCATTTCATAGCAAGCATCAATCCCAACAACTCTCAAGAACTCTCAAGAAAGGCTTTATCAAGCCACAGCTAAAACATTTCTGGTTCAAACTTAAGACATTTAAAACACTTCTTAGTAACCTAGTCCAGTACAAGTCCTTGGTGAACCACTTCTTTTTTTTTTTTTTTTTAAAGATTTTATTTATTTATTTGAGAGAGAGAGAATGAGAGATAGCACGAGAAGGAAGAGGGTCAGAGGGAGAAGCAGACTCCCCACTGAGCAGGGAGCCCGATGCGGGACTCGATCCCAGGACTCCAGGATCATGACCTGAGCCGAAGGCAGTTGCTTAACCAACTGCGCCACCCAGGCGCCCGGTGAACCACTTCTGATGGAAGACTATTTATGCAAAAAGGCCAAAATTTTTATTTGAATTCAGACTTTTTAAAGTCCGTACGCAAAGACTATGTGTTAAAATAGCTACTTATTGAACAAGTAGTCTCCAAAAGCATCTCAGCTAAATTCTTGAGATAAATCTCCCCAACAGGACTCCTAAAAAACAAATGCAAATCATGTCAAACCAGCATACTTGCCTCTCTTTCAGCTTCTTTCAATATGGCTTCTTTCTCCTTTACTCGCTGCACAAACATCTGCTTCATTTCTTCTTCCTTCCTCTGACGTTCACCATAAAATTCATGTCTTTTGGCTTCATAGGTCTCTTGAAGACTAAAAAGTTATTTGTGGTACTCTCATGTTAAAAAATTATGTAGGCAACTTGCAAACACTCAAACTTCTTGGGTTAAGCCTTGTAACTATAACATGTACCAATGCCTCTTATACAGAGCAGTCCGAAACATGACATTTCCTACAGCATGAGACTTAAAAAGCCACCAGTGCTACAGCTAATAGAGAGTACTAGATTTCTGAAATCTCTGACTTGTCAAGTCCTTCCCAAGAAGTATTCTCATTTTACCCCAGATGAATTCCTCTTTCAGTCTTCATTAATTAGCATCACTGTGTCTGGAAACCTTGAAGTCTTTAAGTCATCCATGACTCTTCCCTTAACCTTATCTCTGTATCTGATCACCAAGGTCTGGGAGTTCAGTCTGTGACCTTGACATCATTTTAATCCAGTCTTTTGATTTCTACAGATACTCTGGAACAGCCCAACTCAATCTTAGTGATTTTCTGCCTTCACTATTACAAATTAATATCCTAACTGATCTCTGGGCTTTTAGTTCTTCTTTCTTCTACTTTCTTAATCTTGCCACTCCTAAGATTTTCCAAAAAACCCCACAGATCTCATTATCTTTTTTTCCCACTGCATCAGTTATCTACAGAATAAGGTCCCAATTCCTTTAAATAGCACTTAAGAAACTTTACAGTCTGGTCTAATTCTACCTTTCCAGATTCATCTCTTACCAAACAAATCCAATCCTCCTAAGGTTTCAGCCATACCAACCAATTCATTGTTCCTAAAACCACACATTTCATGCTTTAGCTCGTAACTTCTGTGCTTCCAACATTACTGCCCACCTGCCAACCCCCATTCTACCCAGCTAATCCTCTACTCCTTGAATTTGAAAGGCCAAATTCAAATGCAATTTCCTCTATAAAGCCTTCTCTGGGAGTGTCTGGGGTCTGGGTGGCTCAGTCGGTTAAGTACCTTTGGCTCAGGTCATGATCCCAGGGTCCAGGGATTGACCCCTGCATCTGGTTCCCTGCTCAGTGGAGAGTAGTCTCCTTCTCCCTCTCCCTCTGCAGTTCCCCTGCTTGGGCTTGCTCTCTCTCTCTGTCAAATAAATAAATAAAATCTTTAAAAAAAAAAAAAAGCCTTCTCTGGTCTCCCCATTTGGAACTAACTATGCCTTCTAAGCACTCTCATGGCACTTTGTACCTCTTCTTTGGCATTTATATCCTACTTGTCTAATAGATCATTATCTTTGTAACCTGACTATCCAGCAAAACTCTCTAGACATTTCAGGCTCTTCATAACTGTTCATTTAATGACAGAAATTGCCAGGAACTACTCCAAGCAGAGCAAGGATTGTCCTGGAACACTATGCCCAGGTGCCCTTTATACATATATATATTTTTTTGTTTGTTTGTTTGTTTTGTTTTGTTTTACTTATAGCATTTCAGAGGTATAACAGACCTTCTTATACATCAGAAACACCAAGCCCTTCCATTTCAGCTCACTATGAGACTATCACAAGATTTAACAGGGAACACAAATGTACCTTCCGGTTGTGTTACAGTGAGAAATTTCTACTGCTTACAAAAATATTTTATATCTAAGTAGATATAAATATGATGAATTAAGGAATTTTACAGTCTTAAATAAGGTCCTATCTCCTTTAAATAGCACTTAAGAAACTTCACAATCTGGCCTAATTCTACCCTTCCAGATTCATCTCTTACCAAACAAACTAATCCTCTTAAGGTTCCAGCCATACCAACCTATTCACTGGTCCTATAACTGGAGAAATAAATCTTATAAATATAGAATTCTAGAAGTTCAAGGAGAATTAGAGTAAGAAATGTGGCACAACAGCTATTACAGCTGATGGTACGGGGTACGCATAGCAGGTGTTCTGAGGAACAGATCCTAAACATTGTAAGAGCAAAATATACAAACTGCCCTAGATAACCACATAAATGCCCAAAATCTCAAGGAAACATTTTAATTTTTACCAGGCTTTTTGCTTTTCTGTGTTTGTTTTGGTCTTATTTTAAAGAAACCTCTGTATCTATCAGGCTACTTTCATCATTTTCAGAAACCTCACTACATTTTGCTGATCCTACATTGGATTGATAGTCTTTAATGACAAACTTGATTTAAATGATGTTCTGAATTCATACCAAATGTAAGCTTAAAAAAGTTCCCATTATCTGTTCATATAAGCATCTGAGTTGCTTAAGAGGAAAATAAATCTACCTGGCAAAGAGAAAAGACCTAACATTTGTTGAATAGCTGCTACCAACAAGGTACTTTTCTGGAATCCTTTCTCTACCTAATTCCCATAGCATCCATGAAGAACAAGCACTAATACTCTGTTTTACAGATAAGAAAACTAAAGCTCAGAGAGGTAAAGTAATCAAAGCAACATAGTCGTAAGTAAAAAGCTGGAATTTGAACCAGCTTAGGTTTTTGTTTTATCAAAAGATTAAAAAGTCATGTACTGCTCCTGCATATTTTCCATCATGTCACATGGTTTTTCAACTTTGACAACCAGAAGTCCATTTTAAGTAAAACCAATTGTAAGTTAAAAAACCCACACTATCTTTCAAAAGGTGGTAAAGAAACTCCTAGAAGATCTGTAAGGGAACAATTTACATAGTGTTGTAAAACTAATGCAACTACTGTTTACTATCATGGATTTATTCATTAAACGAAAATGAAAAAGTTTTCTTGCTATGTTAGTATAAAATTCTTGCTTTTTCTAGTATAAAAGTAGCTTGTTGTCACAAATATTCAATGAAACATATTACTATACTTGCAAATATCACTGATTTAAAGCAAAGTTTAAAACCAAAGAGGAAGAAAAAAAATTTTCAAATGCTCATATTCATCAAGAAAATCACTGCAGTCCCTTCACTTAGAACTTATGTTTCATATACAGTTCTTAAAAGCCTGTTGAACTTTTTCCATTTCTGCTGTAGACTAAATGCAGAAAGTTATTCATTTCTTGAGAGTTCCAAAGACAAAATTTTACAACACAAAAAAATTATGTCAAACACTTAAGCAACTCTAAAATACTACAAAAATCTTCCTTTCAAAACTAGAGGTCCCTGGACACTTCAAATGGCAGTGATTTTATACTTTTCAAACGTTAAAGATGATTAACTGTTGGAATGAGAATGGTTATGTTAATCTAAAATAACTTAGGGATTTAAGAAGGTTTATCAGTATTTCTGATCTAGCTTAAATAATTAAAGATCAGTTAATTAAGGCTAGAGGAGAGTATAACGCCATTTACTGGGACCTCATGATAAGCACATGAATAGTGTTGAGAGATTAAGACACTAACTATGACTCAGCATAACTGTTCACAATAAAATGTAAATGGAAAACAAGCTGAAGGTCTGGCAATGTAGAGGACTGGGTAGTAAAGAGAAATAAAAGTCATCCTAACATGTTCATATAACTGTTTTTCTAATTGATAGATGTAATATTGAGGGATGGATTTTACATGCTAACCAAACCATAGTGACTACTGCTAGGTACACCCCAAATTAAATGGGAAATATTGCCCAGAAAATAGAATGTAATTTCTTGAAACTGTAAAACCTTCCTAAGACATCAAGCTATAATGAACTATAGAAGTTTTACCAAATAATTTATTCACAAATAAGAAAACACCAGGAGAAGAAACATTCTGCCATGCCTGATTCAAGAAATCCAGTAAAAAATGTCTCCTCTCTTAAGGAGAGCAGCCTAGGAAGGGCAGAAGACTCAGGCAGGCAGAGGCCTCCCTTACACTGAGATCTAGTTCCCCATCCTTTCTTGCTTGTTCCCTACCCAATCTGTTACCTGGTGTAAACTGAAGAACCTCCTTTTTCCAATTTTCCATTCTTCATTTGAAAAGTGAGCAGATGCTTCCCGAACTGAAGAAATGCTCAAAAAAATGGATGTTCTTAGCAATCTTTGATTCTGAATGCCCACCATCTGCCTATACCTCCCTTTGGTATTGTTAAACTGATTACCTTTTGGAGAGCTACCTCTTCCCCCTAGGATACAGTCTGGTGGGACAATTAATTAGATTCATGCCCACTCCGGCCAAGACAAGGGTACATGTCCTAAGGTAGGCCTACTGGACTAGACTATAAATTGTCAAGCAGAGAATAAAAAGGCTGGAAATGGTTTCAGTTCATTCACTCCACTCCCAGTATAGAATGAAACTGGTTTCTACCTGTTCTAAGTCTTCTCTTTGAATCTGCTATTCTTAGCTGACGTAGTCTTCCATAGAACTACTGCCCTTTTTGTCTTATTTTCAAAGAGCTGTAAAGGAAGCAACTGCAATGTATTACACTGCTGTACTTCTATAGCAAGAACTTGATCCTCAGCTTCAACACAGCTGACCTCTCCTGTCCTGAAACTCTTCACTTGGCTTCCAAGACATGACACTGCTGGTTTTCCTCCTTCCTCTACCCAAGGCTTCTCAGTCTCTTCTACCTGCTTCTCCAGCTGACAAATATTAGAGTGACTCAAGTCTGTTTCCAAGGCACCTTTCTTTTCAAATGTACTTCTCTCTCCAGGCAATCTCATCCATATTCAAACATTCAGTTAGCCATCTAAATGCTGACGACTCTTAAGTTCATTCCTTTGGCCCAGCCCTCTCCTCTGAGCTCCAGAAAAATGCCCAAAGTGCCTATTCAACATTGTCACTTGTATGTTTCAGAGGAAGCTCAAGTCAGAAGGTCCCAAACCAAGCTTATGCTCCATCATGCCCATCACTGCTGCTCCACAAAAAAGCCAGACCTTCCAGAGATACCTATTTTGAGGAAAGGTACAACCATCTACCTAGCCAATGAAACCATAATACCAGGAAAATAAAAGTCTTTCTTTTTAGCAGCATCTTCTGGCATTTCCTGCTTCCTTACCTCAGTATATCCAGTCACTAAGTTCTTTCAATTTCATCTTCTAGATATGTCCCAAACACACCCAGTTCTATTTTCACTTTCGTCCAAGCAATACTCTCCTACTGGTCTCTCCTAAACATCTTTGCACACCATTTTAATACTTTCTTTGCATTACAGCTAAAAGTGATTTTTCAAATGCAAATATGGTATAACTCCTTGAATGGTTTTGCCGTTCCCTTGAAACAAAGCCCAAATCCCAACCAGGTCCTCCACAGTTTTGACTCCTGCCTACCTGTTCTCTCAATCTTATGCCCCCAACTTGTCTGCTCTCCAGCTGCACTTTCTTACAGAGCTCTGAAGATGTCATTCTCTCTCCGCTTGTAGTCTTTTCATGTCTTGCTCTGACTTCCCCAAATTATTAGCTCAAAACAGTAACTGCCTCAAGAAAATCTCTAATTTTCCAGATTCAGTCAGGAAACCCTCCCCCATTATATACCATCTCTCCTTTAGTGCACATTTCACAACTGTGATTAATTGTGCAATTTGATTTTGGCCTCCCCTATAAGAATGTAATCTCCATGACAGCCAGGTCTATAGGATCTTATTCAATATTATATCCCCAGCACTTAGCCCAGAGCCTTGCAAATAGGAGACACTTTTAAAAATGTTTATGATTTGGGGGCACCTGCGTGGCTCAAGTCATGATCCCAGGGGCCTGGGATGGAGATCCACATCAGGCTCCCTGCTCAGTGGGGAGCCTGCTTCTCCCTCTCCCTTTGCCATTCCCCCTGCTTGTGCTCTTTGGCTCTACCTCTGTCAAATAAGTAAATAAAATCTTTAAAAAATAATAAAATAAAATGTTTATTATTTTTATTATTCACTGCTGACTTTCAAATTATCATCATAGCCTTAAGTGTCAGATTCATTTATGACTAGCAGTGTGTGGAACCAATGGGAGACAAACAGCAAATATCTGCTGAATGACTGAAATTTTAACTTAAATGCAGATTCTTAGGCTCCATCCCTGTAAATTCTGAACCCACATTTCTTAATCTTCCACAGATGCCTGATGACTGACCCACCAGGCAACCTGAATCCCTCTTCTCATGAGTACTTCAAGACTGTCCCACTTGCTCTCACTCAGGACTCGTGTCTTAGTAATGTACATTGAGACCTCTGAATTGACCCTCAGACTTGAAAGAACAAGAAGTGAGTCTCTTCTGGGAAACACTAGCGAAGCCAATTCTTCAATAGAGAAAATAATTTTATCAGATTGGCCTGAAATCAAAAGCATAGCATGCCTGAAATTGGTGAGGAGGGGTTAAGTACATATAATTCTTAATTTATCATACTACTAGAGCTAAAACACTAATTAAATCCATAGATTAAAAAATTAAAAAATTTAACCTCATCTACTATTAAATCTTCCCAAAGGTCATATGCAATGGCAGCACTGATTTAATGTTCTCTCTCTCCTTCTTTTTGTGTTTACTACAAATACTAACAGTCAGGGACATGACAGAAATACAAATAATGAAATAGAAAAGAAATCCTTAGTTCCACAACAGAGTTTTAAAAAGTGTTTTGCCTGAAGATCTCATGCTTTCCTCCACGCAAAAACTATTCTGGAATGTTACATCAAATCAAATTTGATGTACTAGGTTAAGGATTAGAGTTTCATGTTTACATATCTTAGTAATAAAAAAAGTCAGGAATGTGGCAGTACATAAAATTACCCAGCAAGTTTATAACACTGAATGCTGTAATTACTGAACAAGAAGGTCATCAGGCTCTAAAATATTTATAAGTATCCTGTAAGATTTTAAGAAACAGTCTAATCTCTGACTCCCTACAAGCACTTTCATTCTTCCTTTATAAGACATTTTCCTAAGTTTAACTCATTTCAAATTTTCATCAAGATAAAAACCAAGGCTGTTTTATTTTTGTTTTTTTAAAGATTTATTTATTTATTTGAGAGAGCGAGAATGAGAGAGAGAGAGAGTACATGAGAAGGGGGAGGGTCAAGGGAGAAGCAGGCTCCTCGCTGAGCAGGGAGCCCGATGCAGGACTCGATCCCGGGACTCTGGGATCATGACCTGAGCCAAAGGCAGTCGCTTAACCAACTGAGCCACCCAGGCGCCCTGTTTTTGGTTTAATATGATTCACATTCCAACTTTCTTTTAGAAGAACAGATAAATATACTTTTATCTTTTTCAGAAAAATACAAACATAAAACCAAATGAGAGTTCTTTCCTTTAGTTATTCATTTCAGTGTGTACTGAGATAATGGGCTTCTGCCATTATGTTCTTTCTTAAACTCTTCGAGTCAGATGAGGTATTAGAGAGCTTCAAAAGCAAGAAGGCCTCAAGTGATCTGAGAAGCACAATAAGTAATCATAAGCAAATGATTCTACTTCATGGTTTGCCAGATTTCTGAAAACCACATTCTCCAACATCCTGGATATATAACAAGGTACAATCCTAACTTCCTCTTTGGTTGGCTTCTCACAGAAATCCCCCGTTACCTGAGTGGCTTATTCTCTGGGCTCACATCTGTAAAGCCCATCTCCTCCAGTTTGCAACGCCTGTAAAGTTCATAATGCCTAGTGTGGGTCTGTTCTCGCAGATCTTCCATGTTTGTACAAATGAGCATTTCCCGGAGCTTTACAAAGTCACAGTGGTTTTCATTTTCCACTAGCCAGAAAAACAAGAAAACAGCAATACCAATTTTTAATTCCTGGCACACGGTATTTGTTGAATGAAAGAATCTATAAAAACACATCTGAAATAACAGTGAAATGATCAGCCTAATACCTAGGATTGTTTTATATAAGTAACCAAGGAAGAAACTCTTGCATTATACACACTGAATTATAGGCAATTTAAATAACAGATTGGGAAATTGCTTTAAATTTAGTAGGCAATCAATAAACAGGAAAGAAATACATTATATTATGTTACCATATGCTCCAGTTATTTCACAAATATTTTGTAGGCAGTTTACAAACCAACCTTAGGACATTTTACAAAGTGCTTAAAGAGTCTGTAACATTTTACTAAAACTTCAAAGTAGTAATTCTGCATACTCAAGATGCCATCTGTACATGCTATAATTATCAAATTCTTTTTATACAATGCCACATTTATGATGCTGTGTTTGACACCATTCAAGATTAGTGAATAAATACACTTAGTTCTCCTTACATGGCCCTTCTAGGGTTATGGTGACCAGAAGACTACAAATAATTGTGTAACTGTAACCAATAGTTTTAAGTACAATTACTATTTTTGTATTTTTTATATATTAAAAATGTTAAGTTTTGTTAATATTTTTTATTAACTACAAATCTGTCAATTTAAAAAAGCAGCAGTATTGGGAAACCAGTACTAGTAGGGGTAATGCATTCCCCAATAATAGCACCACAAGTAAATGAATGAACCAGATAGTACTAATTACTTATGCATTACAATGATCCTAAATTTTTTAGGATCATCAATCCTAAAATTTTTTAATTGGCTGACTAGTTTGTTTTGGAAATAGTTGGCAATACTTTGATGATTAGAAATACATAAATGTACAAAATGGTTTATTGTGCCTAGAATTACCTAGTAATTAATTTATATATCATGTCTAAACACTAGTATTTATACTCAAATTCTGTTCTGACTAGTGCTTCCCACTTTCTGAATGTCTTGGCATACCAGGCACAAAATGTGTGTGGTATAATGGAGAAAATGGGGAAGCTCTGCCCAGCCTCCACATACTTGGCCAAAACAGACCACAATCCACTCTTCTGATAACCAAATCATAACCCAAAATAAGCATCAACTCAGAGAATGCACTGAATGCAACTTTCAGACTGTTAGGTGACAAACATATTCCTAGTCATCATTCATCTCATTTACCTTGAACAACACCCCAAGGGTACTGGCGAGCTTTGACCATCTTATTTCCAACTTTTACCTCATCCATACTTCCTACAACAGCAAACGGCAAATGTCCCTGGAAAGGAACCATGATACCAAATCATATCTCACGCTATTGTGATAAATGACCAACTAAAAAAGTTTTATGAAAGTAACAGTCATTAGAGAAAATTTACTAAATAACAAAGTTATTAAAATCAAATGATCTGCTATGCCTCTGATTTTATTTATTTTAAAATTATTTTATTTTTTTAAGATTTTACTTATTTATTTGTCAGAGAGAGAGCACAAGCAGGGGGAGCTGCAGGCTCCCTGTTAAGCAAGGAGCCTGACGCAGGACTTGATCCCAGGACCCTGGGATCATGACCTCAGCCAAAGGCAGATGCTTATCCAACTGAGCAACCCAGGTGCCCCTATACCTCCAATTTTAAAACTTGGCAGTGAATATGTGCCAACTGTTCTATAAAAGTAAATTTCAGGCCCTGTAAAGAAAATTATTCATTGAGCATCCCCCACATGCTATAGGTATCATGCTATAAGAATAAAAAAAATTCTAGTATAGAATTTTTGCCTTAAAAGACAAAAATAATGTTGAGGAAATTACACACATATACCCACTCACACACACAAAATAAATAACTAAAATATGTATCTATATTTAGTGTGTGCACAGATATATTATACTAATACAAAGTAATATTTAAGTCCCAAACTAGTGCTAAAGGTAGTAAATGTTACATAAACTTAGAGGAGTAAGGGATCACTGAGGTCAGAAAGATATAACCCAAACCAGAGATGGATCAAGGAGAGTAAGAACTAACTTACGTAAGGAGAAGATTTTGAACAAATACATAATAGCTAGATGTAGAGAACAGTGAGTAGACTGGTCCGTCTGAAGCTGAGGATTAATACAGGAGAAAAGTCTAATGTAAAAGTTTTAAGTATTATGTTTAATATTTAATAATTGACATTCAGTGTCTTAATTGTCCCTTTCTGAAAAATTATTCCAAGTGGGCACAAAAAATAAAATTAGATCTAAAGACAATATAACACATAGGTATTGAGATCACTTCATTTACATTAGTCAGCTTTTTTTATTTAAAGTATCTTAATGAAAAATCAGAAAAAGAAAAGGAGACATGGCATGAACAGTTAACTGAATGTCACTGTGTTGGGCAGTGAACAAAGACTATATCCTCACAACAACCCAACTGTAGGTATTAACCCAATTTTGTAGTTAACAGTCTCAGGGAGGTTAATATCTCCCACAAGAACATATGGTTAAGTCAAAACCAGTGACACTTCAAAATATAACCAGATATTTAAGAAATTTAGTAGCCTGAAGAAAGTATCACAAAGAACTTAGCCATCTTTAGTCATATTAAATGAAAAGTTATGTGAATATTTAATATGTACATGTGACACTGTAAGGGACACTGAGCTTAAATATCAGATTAGAAAGATATTCTTAAGGACTTTAAGATTCCAAAGCATTCTGAGGGAGAATATAAAGACTTCACATGTTTTTTATTTTTGTTTTTGTTATTTTTGTAAATGTTTTATTTATTTATTCATGAGAGTCAGAGAGAGAGAGGCAGAGGCAGAGGGAGAAGCAGGCTCCCCGCCTAGCAGGGAGCCCGATGCGGAACTCGATCCCAGGACCCTGGGATCATGACCTGAGCTGAAGGCAGACGCTTAACCATCTGAGCCACCCAGGCGCCCCACATGTTTTTTAAAGACAGGATAAAAGGCATCTTTCTAAGGCAATTAGTAAGTATGGTGCCACAAAAGGAGTATCCCAGCCTCACCAATGTATCATTTTATTTAGGTGAAAGTAGAGGAAAGAAAATATGCTCAAAAATATATTCTCATATATTTTTTCCAACTCTAGAAAATAAAACATTTTCCTATATTGAACTTTTGAAAATTCACCTTGTGTGAAGTCTTTTTAGAAGACACAAGTGAAAGTGTTAGTAGGAATGTCACAAGTTACTCTTTTCACATGTAAACAGAATTAACATTCAACTAGGAGCTTACATTCATTGAAGCATTGATTTTAGCAATAGTTTCATCGTCTGTTGGAAATTGATATATCTGAACACCGTTGCTAACCAATTCACTCATGAGCTTGATCTTAAACTTCTGTAATTCAGCTTTAGAAATTGCATCTGCTTTGGCAATCACTGGTATAATGTTCACCTATTGACAACAAAGAAAAACAAAATCTCATAATTGAGGATTTATTTTTTAATTCTGTAGTTTTTGCATTCAAAACCACTCAGTCTCTGACAAACTTCCTTAACCTAGATCAGGGGATGAATAAACTATGGTCCAGCTCATTGTCTGTTGATATAAATATTTACTAGAACACAGCTACACCCATTAATTTACATATCATCCAGAGCCACTTTCATTCTCCAATAGCTGAGATAAGTAGTTACCTCAGAGACCATATGGCCTATAAAGCCTAAAGTATTTACTACCTGGTTCTTCACAGAAAAAGCTTGCCAACTCCTAACCTAGATCATCTCTGGCTGTCACTATCACCATATTCCCCTATACAATCATTACTACAGATGCTGGCCTTAATAGTAACTGCTTTTAAAAAGCAGAGTTCTTATAAGATTAATCTTACGTCTGAATTTAGGGTTAGAAATCTTGTATTTTCTTCTCTTTCTCAAAGTCTCTTATAATTCTATCACATACAAAATGTAAGCAAGAAGCTGAGATCGCCTGCTTAATTCACTAAGTATTTTTTATTTCTTAATAATCTAAGCACTAAATAATCAGGGTAACTGATCCCTCGGCAAAACCAGGAAGCAGGCGAGTTTCTCCTTCTGCCTCTCATTTTGGCAGATCCCCTCCCCAATGACTCCATCCAATCTGCACCCTGTGTGAGAGACCCCTACCTAGATGTTGAAGGAAGGAAATTTTATGAATACCAATTGAAAGTGTTCATGACATTCTCAGCCTTAAAATCCTATCACTGGCCAGAGAGGAAAAAATGTGGGGTGTCCCACAAAAGATTGATGTCTCTGCAAATCTAAGGGTTTGTAGGTTTGTGGTTGGTTGGTTTTTTTTTTTTTTTTTTTGGTTATTTAGTTGGTTTTAGTGAAAAATTTCAGGCTAACTAGTATCAAGAGAGTGAAATATCAATGTAATTTTCAGAAGGAAAAGTAAAAATCAATTCTATTCTAAATTTCTTGCTCTTCTCCAATTTCACACTGACTTACTGTGTATATTCGATTTATTAGTCTTATAAATATGCTCCACAGGCGATAAAGATTTTTTCATCTACCCATGAAAACTTACCAGCTTTCAGGCTAAATTAAAGTACATAAAAATTTGATGCCCAGTTCTTGGTTTCATTATATACTTAGATTGTCAATAAATTATGCCAAGTTAATAACTTAAAATTGCTTCCACAATAAATAGCAAAACCACACTGTAGTGTGTCTGACATTAAGCTTTTGATTGTCAAGGTACTCATTTCAAAGACATCCATGTCAAATAAACATATTGCCAGCCGTATGACACAGCTACTAAGCAAATGAATAAGGCACAAAGCCACCCCCACCCATAACGTTCCCCTTTTAAAAAACCTGGGTGACCTGAATAACTGACCACTTGAGCATGCCCTAATCCCACTCTTATGCTTTAAATCTGCCAATAAAGAGTGAACTTATGAAACCCTAGACACCCAACCCTCAACCCTAATAAAGGCAGAGCCCAGGTTCACACTCGACCTCATTGTGTGGCCCTTCAGCATGCTATGTACCCTCCAGGACCTGTAAGTAATATAGACCTTGTTCTTCAAAGCTCCCTGATGGTATCTGGCTGAAGTGTATCCTAAGATTGTAGTAAGAGCCACAAGGGCTGGCCCAGCCATGACACTGGCCCTGGGGAGGATGTCTGTGGGGCTTGCTATGAATAATATAGTTGGGGGGAGTACCTCAGGCATTCCTAGCCAAGAATATCACTATAATTAGGCTGGGAGTGTACATCACAGACTGAAAGCTACACTGAAAGCTATACATATGTTTATTTGTATATTGGGGGGAGGGAAAAAGATGTTTCACACTGATGGTAACCTGTCACTGTTTGCATAAGGTAACTTTCATGTCAAGCAGTGGAGTATTCTGCTTTTAGGAACAAAAGACAAGCTATCAATTTAATTAACACTCACATCTGCCCCCTGATGTAGGTATTATTCTCCTTAATTTTTTATTTTAGATGTGAGGAAACTGAGGCTCACGAGACTATAGAAACTTGCCAAAGAACACAAAGCTATTAAGTGACAGAGCCAGTATTTAAAACCAGCCTCCACTGACACCAAATTCTATCCTGTTTATACAGATTACATCATGTTGCTTCTGTCTAGCTAAGACAAACTCGCACACACTTGGTTTTATGTTGATTTTATGAGCTTCCATATAATCGCTCAACTATAAGAATACGGATAAATGGTTATAACATCTGAGCAAATGAGTAGACTATAATGTAAGCTTCATCAAGTTTTTGCTAAAGCCAGGGGACTGTGCAACTAGCCAAAATTCAGTCAATCACAACTTCACTGGCAGCTTTATGCTTTCCCTACTGATTTCTATATAGAAAGTAGTACTGGCCAGAATGCCCTTTCTCTTGAATCCTATCTCATAAAATCATTAGCCAGGATAATGAAAGCTGCATTTCTCACACCATCAGAGGTTATCAGAAAATTAGTTTTTTTAGTACAAGATAGTAGTCTTCAACCACCTTTTACACAGCTAAAAAAGGTAAGTTAATTTGTAGATATTATTTTTTTATAGCTCCCTGAATTTATATATTACTCCTTGGCTCAGAAATTCAAAAATAGGTTTTCTTGGTATGGTTCAAATTAAAACATAATTTATTATAACACATGATGAAACATTAGACCTTAATCTTTGTCAACGAACTTCTTCTCACCAGCGTCATAAAGTAAAATTAGTGTCAAATAAATTCTGGCATGCAATTTAATCACTAAAAAAAGGACTAAAGTTTTGTTAATGTATTTTCTTTGCAGCTCATCTTCCAAACTGAATTTCTCTGGAAAATAACCTAAGATTAAAACTTATCAAATGTTTTAAAAATGCACAGAATAAAAATTAAAATATATATACATATTGTAAAGGGATTTAATAGTTCAAAATAAATATTAAAGCATGATAAATTGAGTCCTTTTCCAAGCCCACCTTGCTGTCAAGGCTCTTCATTGTTAAGAGATCCAGTGTCTTCAGAGAGTGACCTGTAGGGGAGATGAAGTAGAGGCACACGTGGATGCGAGAATCGTGGTAGTTAAAGAGAGAGCGCTTGATCTTCAGCTCCTCTTGGAGATAGGCCTCAAACTGAGCATCTATGTAGTCAACTATCGGTTGGTAGCTGAAAAAATAAGTATTAAAGTATTTAATACAGCATATTCACTCTACCTTAGTAAGGTATTTATGTAATTCTAAGGTGTGAGATCTATATTTTTACCAATTAATAAACAGCTACTATCTTTGCTAAACAGAGAACTTTAGTAATAAAGTAAATTTCACAGAATATGCATGCACAAAGATAGTACTTCAAAACCATCACTATAACCTGTACTTTAAATTGCTTTATAGAAACTGAATGAACGTACATGGAGTCATTCTCACATTCATTCATACACTGCACCCCTTTCTGATAAGGGTTCCCATACTTGTCAGACTGCTGAATGAGGCCAGGCACTTAACTATAACCAAACTGGACATATTATTTAACTGAGAAAAGGCATGAGAACTAATAACTTAAAAGATATTTAAGTCAAATTCTATGACTCCTTGCTTAAGTCCGATTCATTAAGGCATGAAGAACAGCAACAAAGTAAGGAGGAAAGGCGTACATCAAATGAAAGTAACTAGTAATGCAGGCATGATTTTATCTTTGTTTAATTATAAACAAAAGAAAGGCACACACACTCTATGCTCTGTGTCCTTGCTTAGATCACTTCTCCTCCTGGCATGCCATTTTCCCACTAGCTCTTTCATTCTATTCATCTTTCAAGATGCCAATCATATCACACTGCATGTGCATGGGCATTCATCTTAGTTTGTGGATGTTCCACTTCATTCTGATATACTAAAAACTGTCTACACAATTCAACTTTCTACTCTTAACTATTCTTATTAAGTAAATCTGGCTTTCCAAGTGAAAATAATAGCAAATAGTTCCTCTGTCAAATTCCCTGGACACTTTTGTAATTATCTTTGTAGCCCAAATGGAGCAGTACTTTGTGCAGCTGAGGTACTCAATATGTGTGCATAGAACTGAATTCTTCCATAAAGTTGCCTGATCCTTCTAGTCCTTAAAGATCATCACCTCTTTTAATCTCATGGAATACCTTATTCTTCCCATGCAGACGGTAAACAATGTGAGGACAGAGACAGTATCTTATACGAGTATTAGGAACACAAGCATTCACTATCAGGAACACTATCCTTGGGAAACTTGTCTAAATGTGATCCAACATGATTCCCTCCCCAAAATAATAAAATAGTAAAACTTAATCTGTAAGTACATATTTAACATAAAAAAAAAATCCAAAGAAGCATTTATTAATGACCTGAAAGAGATCAGTAACATGACCCATTTTATGACCTAATAGCCATAAATGGTCCTCTACCTGTGCTGCATTATACTTGTCATAAATGAAGACCAAAACATTTTCTGCTAAATAAATAGCATACCATTAGGAGTTCTTCCATAGTAATTTGCCCTAGGTTTCCATTTCTTTTTTTTTTTTTTTTAAAGATTTTATTTATTTATTTGACAGAGAGAGACACAGCGGGAGAAGGAACATAAGCAGGGGGAGAGGCAGAGGGAGAAGCAGGTTCCCTGCTGAGCAGGGAGCCCGATGTGGGACTCAATCCCAGGACCCTGGGATCATGACCTGAGCCAAAGGCAGACGCTCAACGACTGAGCCACCCAGGTGCCCCTAGGTTTCCATTTCTAATACACTGCATACTCGGTCTTCCAATGAAACAAAAGACAATGGCTTAAAATATAAAAACCACCTCCTTAAAAACCTCCAAGTATTCATAAAGTGATAAGGAATTAATCAGGTCAAAATTGAAGAGAAACAATGAGATACCACCTCACACCAGTCAGAATGGCTAGAATTAACAAGTCAGGAAACAACAGATGTTGGTGAGGATGCAGAGAAAGGGGAACCCTCCTACACTGTTGGTGGGAATGCAAGCTGGTGCAGCCACTCTGGAAAACAGTATGGAGGTTCCTCAAAACGTTGAAAATAGAGCTACCCTACAACCGAGCAATTGCACTACTGGGTATTTACCCCAAAGATACAAATGTAGTGATCCAAAAGGGTATGAACACCCCAATGTTTATAGCAGCAATGTCTACAATAGCCAACCTATGGAAAGAGCCAAGATGTCCATCAACAGATGAATGGATAAAGAAGATGTGGTGTGTATATATATATATATATATATATATATATATATATACACACACACACACACACATATATTTATACACACACACACACACACACACACACACACACACAATGGAATATTATGCAGCCATCAAAAACCCCGAAATCTTGCCATTTACAACGACATGGATGGAACTAGAGGGTATTATGCTAAGCAAAATAGGTCAATCAGAGAAAGACAAGTATCATATGATCTCACTGATAGGAGGAATCTGAGAAACAAGACAGAGGATCATAGGGGAAGGGAGGAAAAAATGAAACAAGATGAAACCAGAGAGGAAGACAAACCTGAGAGACTCTTAATATCAGGAAACAAACTGAGGGTTGCTGGAGTGGTGGGGGGTGGGAGGGATGGGGTAGCTGGGTGATGGACACTGGGGAAGGTATGTGCTATGTGAGTGCTGTGAATTATGTAAGACTGATGAATCACAGACCTGTACCTCTAAAACAAATAATACATTATATGTTAAAAAAAAAAAAAAAGAGAGTAGGAAGGGAAATATGAAGGGGGGAAATCGAAGGGGGAGACGAACCATGAGAGACTATGGACTCTGAGAAACAAACTGAGGGTTCTAGAGGGGAGGGGGATGAGGGGATGGGTTAACCTGGTGATGGGTATTTAGGAGAGCACATACTGCATGGAGCACTGGGTGTTATACGCAAACAATGAATCATGGAACACTACATCAAAAACTAATGATGTAATGTATGGTGACTAACATAACATAATAAAATAAAATTTAAAAAACTGAAGAGAGAGTGGAGCCTGAGAGAGGTGAGCAAAGGACTAGAGGAGGGGTCAGTAAATGGGCCAAGTCCAGATGATGCCTGTATCACACAGCTCTGTTCACGGGTGTATGTATTGCCTATGGCTGCTTTGTGCTACAATGGCTGAGTTGAGTAGTTTGGACAGAAAACATAAGTCCCGCAAAGTCTGAAATATTTACTATCTAACACTTTACAAAAAGAGTTTACTAACCCCTGCACTAAAAGCATCAGTGCTAGTTTCGTCCTGAGGCCACTTGTCAATCTAGTTCTTGAGCTTCACTTCTGAAGGACTCACAGGACAAGAAGGAAAAAAATCAAAGCCCAGGGCCCACACAGGTAGGAATCTATTAAGAAACTGAATTGAGATCCTAAAAGCCACACCTTCAGGGTAAGAATGAACTAGAAATTAACCTACAATTCCTCCCCTCTCCCCAAGTTTCTATAGGAAAGGTTGCCCCGGCACTAAATGAAGCAGGGAAAATAAAAGGAAAGGGGTAGAAAAAGTCCTTGAGAACTTGAAGCCACAGGTCTGCTCTCACACATATCCACAGCCCAGGTTCACAATGCCTCTTTGATGCTGAGAACCCTGAGCCATGAAATGAGTTTAAGGATCCTCAGAGTATATTAAAGCCAACAGGGGCCTAACATAAGCATATCCAAATCTGTTCAAAGGAAGACAACTTCATCTTAGACCTCAAAGTATCTCTGCAAAAACTTTTCCAAAGACCATGAGAACTATAATAAAAAAATAACCAAGCATATAAGAAAAAAAGCACAATGAATGAGAACCAAAGGAAAAAAACAAACATCAGTAAGTACTGCATAAGGCTGAGAATCAATGAGAAATTAGAGCAAATTAGATCAAAACCCAAAGACAGGTAATTATAGGTGTAAGAGCAGAAATAAGTAGGAAAAAAAAATATAAAATTGAAAGGACAAATAATAAAGCCAAATTTTGAAAAAAAGCAGACTAACAAAGCTTTGTTGAGACTGATCAAAGGAAAAGAAAACAAGCACAAATAACCAGAATCAGAAAAGGAAATGCAGATATCATCACAGATAACGTAAACAATAAAAAGATATTAGGAATATATTATCAAATATTTTAAGTAAATATCTTTGAAAATTTGGATGAAATGGACAGATTCTTGGAACACTAGTATTCCAACTGTCTCGAGACACTACTCTAAATAGGCTTATAATCATTAAAGAATATTAGTTAGTAATTAAAAACCTCAGAAAACTCCAGGCCGAAATGGTTTTATTAGTGAGTTCCACCAATCACTTTAGGGAAAAATAACTCTAATTTTATGCATAATATAAAAAGAATACAAAATGGTATTCAAGATTGAAGGCTAATTTGCCAATGAAAAATCAGTTACTAAAATTCATCTTGTTAAAGATTAAAGAAGAAAATGTACAATCTTCTCTACAGAATGCAAAAACAAAAAATATCTGATAATATTTTTCATGATAAAAAATAAAACTCTCACTAGTAATACAATGGAACTTCCTCATTTCAAATTAAAAAAAAAAAGCAAGCAAGCATAATAAATGGTAAAAATAAAGCTTTCCCTTTGCATGAGGACATGGCAAAGATACCCACTAATACCACTGACTATCCAACATAATACTGTTAGTCCTACCCAGTGCAATCAGGTTTTAAAAATGGAAGAAAGAAAAATTAAAATTGTCTTCAGCCATAAAGAAGTAACTGGGACTAGATTTACTCTCCCACTATGAACAACTAGAAACTTGGATAAGATACACGAAAAAGGCTTTCAGACATTAGACAACAGGCAGAATAAAACTGTGTTCATTGAGAAGGGAAATAAATGAGGAAAGCTTTATGATTCTTCCAGCTTACTGCCTGAAGACAAGTTTCCAGGGAACAGAACAAAAGAGCACAGAGCCTGGCGGACTCACCCAGTTGAGGAGACAGAAACAGGAGTTCAAGGAGGCCAAGGCAACTAGAATTTGTAGGCAAGAACACTGAATAGAAGGCAGCTGCTCCAACAGAAGTGCTAATGATCTAGACAGACAGTGCTTCCCTCCAGTCTATGGTGAAGCACTAATGTGCACATACATGTGAGGAAAGAACCCAAGACTATGGATATTTCCTGTTATAATCATGGTGGTAGTTACAAAACTATGTATTTGTCAAAATTAACTGAATTGTACACTTAAAAAAAAGTGCATTTTATTCTGTGTAAATAATACATCAATAAAACTTATTTTTTTAAAAGATTTTATTTATTTATTTGACAGAGAGAGACACAGCGAAAGAGGGACCACAAGCAGGGGGAGTGGGAGAGGGAGAAGCAGGCTTCCCGCCGAGCAGGGAGCCCAATGCGGGGCTCGATCCCAGGACCCTGGGATCATGATCTGAGCTGAAGGCAGACACTTAATGACTGAGCCACCCAGGAGCCCCAATAAAACTTATTTTAAAAGAAACAAAAGAACTGAAAAAAATATATAAATGTCATTATTCATAGATTACACTATTATACATACATAGAAAATCTACACAAATTTAGAGATGAATTGCTGGAATTAATCAGAGAATTTACAAAAGTCACTGTATGCAAAATCAATTATATTTCTATACACCAAATAGAAAATGAAATATTTCTAAAAGATATCATCTATGAGAGCATCAAATACGCCAAATATCTAAGAATAAATTTAAGTAAAGCTGTTATAAGATCTCTACACTGAAAACTATAAGGAAATTATGAAGATTTAAAGCAACACGTCACAGGCCTTTGACTCTATCACTAATCTGCTTCTTCGAGAAAGTCCACATAAATGTGCTGAAAGGCCAACATTAAGTCACATAAAGGGAATCAATTATGCAAACTATTTCCCCTCTAAAGCAAACTTTCAGGAAATTAAAAAATTACCTCTAACAATGAAAGTATATGAATTTCAAAAAGGAAAAACAACAAGAAGTTATTGCTTAACCCCAAACTATTTCCCTGTTTCATATTTTAAATTTCATACACAGTCTATAATCATTCTTTATAATACCATAGGAGAAAGAATGACATAATATAAAATATAAGTAACAATTTCACTATCTTGCTTAGAATTTCACACACAGAAAAATTCATGCACCATGGATTGGGCCATTATATATTTGCCATTGTATGTCTTACTTTTTTCCCCTCAACAAAATAAGTCCTGCCTCAAAATTAGTACAAATCACTTATTATACACCAAACTAGCATGTGAGGAAATAATTAAAATAATTTTTGTCAAAGTACACATTTCAATAATGTGAGTCAAATTATGCTAAAAAAAAATTAAGACAACTGGACAGAAAAATGTCAATTTGTTAAGAATAAAACATTGCTGATTTATTAAAAAAAAAAAAAAGTTAAAGTCTGGGAGGAAAAGGTATGAATTTCCAGAGTAGAAAACCAAATCATGGCTCATGGGACAAGACAACTGTCTTGAAATAAAACGATTACAATAAGAAAACATGTACCTCTCTTCTTTGTTTATTTGGTCACCAAATCCTACTGTATTCACAATGGTCAATTTCAATCGAACATTACTTTCATGGAGTTCATATGTCTGGGCTTTAAGTCTAACATGTGGGTAAAAATGTGAGGATCCATGGTCTTCAAAATTAGTATTAAACAATGTGTCAATCAGCGTTGATTTTCCAATTCCAGTCTCCCCTGAAAGAAACAAAGGTACATCTTCACAGGTGCAGAGGACAAATGAGAAAAAATAGAACTCTTAGACTGGTTTCAAGGATTCCAAATATTTCAAACATTCCAAATGCTGAGTTGTCTATGAAAGACATACAAGTTAAGGCTGGTCCACTGAGTCATTAGCAGAATATAAAAGTGAATATGTACGCTAAGTTACTCAGAGCTCTGAAGAAAGCACTGAAATGTTTAAACAAAAAAGTTTAAAGCAGTACAGCTAAGAAAAACAAAACTGACAGAATTTAAGTAACTGAAAAAAATCTGCAATCATGATCTCAAATTAATAACATGAGCATCATACTGCTTCCAAGAGTGAAGAGAACACAAGGAATATAAAGGAATAATTTAGAGGAAGAGTTTGGCACTTACCCACACAGAGAATATTAAAACAGAAGCCTTGCTGAATGGATCTATTGACCAGCTGATCAGGCAAACTCTCAAAACCAACATGGCCAGACATAGTTAAAGAACGAATATTTTCTTTTTTTTGCTAAAGGAAAACAAAGACAATGGCAATAATTTAAAACAATTTTAATTGTTTTAATTTAAAATTTAATTTAATTTAAAAAATTAAAATTTTTAATTAAAATTAAAAACAAAAAACTTACTAAAATAGGACAAAGGCACATTTGAAAGGATAAATATACTTTACCAAAGAAACTAAAGATTTTATGATCATTAGACCTTCACCAAGATACAACTATATTAAGTAAATTTGTGAGAAACCTGTTTCCAGACCCTGAAAACACATACACATTTCTTATTCTCTTCATTCAAATACTTGATTTCCAAAAATTAGGAAAATACTCATGTAAACTATGGCAGAGTCATTCATGAAATGGAATGTTTAAAGTTATTATAGATGTTTATTATAAGTATTTAGTAACTTAAATTTTACATTAAAAAGTCGCATGAAAAAAGTACAATAGAAAATTACAGTTTCAGTTCCCAGTAATGGCAGAGTAACTTATGTCACCTGCTAATAACAATTATAATCTATTCTTCCAAGTCAATGGAGTGCAACCAAAGGCCAACAGACAGTGGAGGTCTCTTGGGAGTAGAAACCATGTAAAGTGAGATGCACATTTTCTAGGTCTTTCTGAGGGCATACCCCAGTTACTGCTGCTCAAAGAAGACAGACCTCAGGATGGAAGTGGTAGTCTTACCGGGTTGAGAAGTTGGAAATAAGGGCAGGTAGATCAGCTGAAAATTGAAGAAGAAAATTACAGAAAGGAGGGAGTCCAAAATCTGCAAGTACACTCCCCTCAAATCTCTGGCTGACTGCTGAACTGCACAAGAACAGGGGGAACACAAAGAGCCTAGCAAGGGGGAAATGGAAATTGGGAGGAGCTATGTAGAGTTTTCAAGAATGCCATCCTGGGAAGCTTGAATTTTAACTCTGTAAGTTAAAGGGGCTTAATAAACATTTCAGGCTTTCCACCAAAAACCTATATGGACATTTTAGGAGTAAGGATCACATCCCAGGAATCAGAAATGTTCCCTAGCACACAAATGAAATAGACCTGCCCTAACAAAGTGTATAACCAAGACTCAACGTGAACAATGCAAGAAGCTAGTAATTTACTGCCTGCTAGAACCAAGGTCAACACTCTTCAGAAGAAGAAATCAGAATCCAGCACCTCTATGATGTATCATCCACAACATCTACTATACAATAAAAAATTACTACAGAGGAAGAAGCAGAAAAATGTGATTCATGGTCAGGGGGAAAAAGTCAACAGAAAAAGATCCACAAATTAACCGGATATTGAATCAGCTGATAAGAAGTTTAAAATAACTATGATAAATATGCTGAAGAAGAAAAAATATCCTCTTCTTCTACAGGAAAAGGAGATAGGTATAATGGGTGGCGAATTACAAAAGAGATATTAAAGCTCTCAACAACAAAAGGCAACAAATGGAATTCCTAGAAGGAAAAACGCAACATCTGAAATAAAAAACATATTGAACAGAATTAACAGCAGATCAAACAATGGAAGGAAAGACTTGTTCAATAGCTATAGCCAAGTTAAACATCTTTATCAATCCAAGCTAAAAATCTCTTATAGAAAAGATAAAACTAAGAGTCCAAAAAACCTGTGGGACAGTATCAAATGGTCCTACATACCTGTAATTGGAATGCCATGTAGAAAAGATGGGGAGAGACTGCAGAGGGGAAGGAAATATCCAATTGATAGTGACTGAAAATTTTCCAATTTTCTAAACATGAACTAAGAGATCCAAGAATTTTAGCAAACTACAAACAGGAAAAATCCAGAGCAACCCACAACTAGGTACATTAGAGCAAAATGTTTCAAAACAAAGATAAAGAAAAACTTCACGAGCAACCAAATATGGGGAGACATACTACACACTAGTGAAACATATAAAATGACTACAGGTTTCTCATAAACAACAACCAAAGCATAAGACAACAGAACATCAATAAAATGCAAAAGAAAAAAAATGACAACCTAGAATTCTATATCCAATGAAAATATCGTTCATAAATGAAAGCCAAAGGAAAACATCTCCAGACAAAAAAAAAAACTCTGAAAAAATTCACTAAGAGCAGACCTATACTATAAGCAATGTTAAAAGTTATTCAAGAGAAAGGAAAATGACATCATATGTACAAAAAGAAATAAAAATTGCCAGAAAGGTAGAAATGTGGGTAATTGTAAGAGAATTTTATTAGTTTTAATTTCTTGAAAATATGATTGTTTAAAGCAATAACAACAAGAATGTATTGCAGAATCTGTAATCACAGAGATGCAGAATGTATGACAGTGACAGCAAACAGATGGGAAAGGAAATGGAGAGCTACTGTTGTAAGGTTTCTATATTATACATGAAGTATAATACCGTTTGAAGATATGTGTGATAAATTAAAGCCTACACCAATTACTATTCTAAAAAAATAAAAGACCAAAGAGATATAGCCAATAAGTCAATAGTTAAGATGAAATGCAATCATAAAAATATTAATCCAAAAGGCATAGAAAAAAGAAAAATGAAAGAACAAATGGGACAAAGAAAATAGCAGCAAACAGGCAGACTTAAACTAGCCAAATCTATAATTAAATTAAATGTAAATGGTCTAAACCAGTGATAACCAACAGAACTTCCTATGATGGCAGAAGTGTTCTCCATCTGAGCTGTGCAACAGGGACCCACTAGCCAGCCACATTCAGATACTGAGGACTTCAAATGTGACTAATCCAACTGAGGAAATGATTTTTAAATTTTATTTAACTGATTTAAATTTAAATAGCCTCATGTGGCTAGTGGCTACCATTCTGGACAATGAATGTCTAAACATTTCAGTTAAAAGAAGGAAATTGTCAGACTGGATAAAAGAGCAAGACTCAACTCTATGCTATCAATATAGGAACTGATAATCTGGTTCTAAAATCTATATGGAAATGTAGGTGATTAAGAACAACTACAACAATTATGCAAAAGAACAAAGTTGAAGGACTTACACTATCTAATGGTAAAGCTACAATCGCCAGGAAGTGTGGGACTGTGACAATCTAATTATCTATTTGTCTGCTTCATCAAAATTAAAAACTCACGATCAAGGAATATGTAAATCAGATTGAAAGAAAATATTATATATTTGATATATACATGACAAAGCACTTATATTCAGAATACATGAAGAATTCAAATGATTTAATAACAATCCAGTTTTTTAAAAAAATGGGTAAGGACTCCAATAGAACTTCACAAAGAAGATAACAAAATAGCCAATGAGCAAATGAGAGAGCGCTCAACAGTACTGGTTATTAGGGAAATGTGAATTAAAACTACAGTAAGATGGGTGCCTGGGTGGCTCAGTCAGTTAAGCGTCTGCCTTTGGCTCAGGTCATGATCCCAGGATCCTGGGATCAAACCCCGCATCGGGCTCCCTGCTCAATGGGGAGTCTGCTTCTCCCTCTGCCCCCACCACGCTCTCACCCATTCTCTCTCTCTGTTTCTCAAAAATAAATAAATAAAATCTTAAAAAAAAACTATAGTAAGATATCACTGAACACCCACCAAAATGGCTAAAATTTAAAAATTTAAAAGGCTGATACATTTGTTGGTGTGAAAGCAAAATGGTATAGCCACTTTGGATAACAAGTGGGCAGTTTCTTATAAAGTTAAATACACATTACTATACAACCAAAAAACTCTACCTGTAGGTACCCAAGATAAATAAAAATACACATGAATGTTCTTGGCAGCCTTAGTCCAAATAGTTAAAAACCAGAAACAACCCAAATATCCAACAATTGGTGAATGGAGAAATAAAATGTAGTATATCCATACAATGGAATACAAAACTACTGATATATGCCACAACATGGTTAAGTCTCAAAAACTAAGTGATGCATTTACTGTGATTTGACTAAAAAAATAAAAGTATATTTTTTCATATATTCTCATATATATGAATATGGATAAAAATCTTTCAAAGGGTAGTGACAGACTATTGAGAGTGGTTATTACTGGGGAATGGACTTGGAGGGAGTGGTCTGGGAGGTAGAGGTGAGAAAGATTCACTTTTTACTGTATATGGTGGGTAAAATTCTAACATGGACCCCAAGATTGATGGCCCCTCGTGTACCCACACCTTCTATTTTTTTTTTTATCAAACACTAATCTAGATGCTACTATGAAGGGACTGTGTAGATGTAATTAAGGTCACAAATCAGTTAACCTGAGAAAGGGAGATTATCTTGGGTGGGCCTGACCTAATCAGGTGAGCCCTTAAAAAGGACTGGGAGCTTCCAGGTGAAAGAGATTTGAAACCTGAAGAGGATTTGACATTTGGGTTCTCCCCTCTTGTATGGATGACAGAGAGCTAAATGGCAAGGACATAAGAATGTTCTCTAGGGGCGCCTGGGTGGCTCAGTCATTAAGTGTCTGCCTTCCGCTCAGGTCATGATCCCAGGGTCCTGGGATCGAGCCCCGCATCGGGCTCCCTACTTGGCAGGAAGCCTGCTTCTCCCTCTCCCACTCCCCCTGCTTGTGTTCCCTCTCTCACTGTCTCTCTCTGTCAAATAAATAAATAAAATCTTAAAAAAAAAAACAAAAAAAAGAATGTTCTCTAGGAGCTGATAGCAACCAGCCATCAGGAAACTGAATCCTGCCAACAGCCTGGAAGAATTTGGAAGGGGAGCCTCAGATAAGAACCTAGCCAGCCAACATCCTGAGTGAGACCCTGAGCAGAGAGGCCAGCTGTGCTGGCCTGACTTTCTAACCTACAAAACAATGAGCTAATAAATAGGTGTTATTTTAATCAACTAAATTCATGGCAATTTGTTACAGGGCAATAGAAAACTAGTATGCTATATTCTCTTTTCTACCTTTTGAATACCTTTTAGTCATGTAAGTATGTTGTCTTTATTATTAAGAGAGAGAAGAAACACTATGCTTCCCAGTCATGAAAGTATTCAAGAAGATTAGAGTAATACTTGCTAGAGTTTTTACAAAGCACATGCTTATCAGATAAAAGTCAAACTAAATGATCTACAGAATCCCTTCTAGTTCTAAAACTGTAAGATATGTTAAAAGAAGCTTTTCAAAAGTGAAGAAGAGGGGCCAGAGAAAATGAGGATTAAGCAATGACCATTCAGTGGATTAGTCACTAAAGCATTAGTGACTATGACAGCAGTTTCAGCAGAGCAATGTGTTAGAAAGCAGATAAAGAGTAATTCCAAAGGTCTGCAAGGTGATAAAATAAAGATGGGGCAGACTATTATTACCAAAGAGTGAAAAAAAGATAAAAAGGACAGTAGTTTGGTGGTCAAACTACAATTTATCAAAACCATGGAGCCTTTAACACGTGTGAAGGAAGAGGGAAAAACAAGAAGAGGCTTAATGGGCACAAAACTAAGAAAATCATTTAATCTTATTGAATTACCCATGCTTATATTTGCGATTTTTATTTTTGTTTTTTTTTTTAAGATTTTATTTATTTATCTGACAGAGAGAGCGCACAAGCAGAGGGAGCAGCAGAGGGAGAGAGAGAAGCAGGCTCTCCGCTGAGCAGGGAGCCCAATGTGGGGCTCAGTCTCAGGACCCTGGGATCATGACCTGAGCCAAGGCAGATGCTTAACCTGTATTTGCGATTTTCTATTTAAAGAATCATTAGCTCACCTTTCACCAAGTTAAATTTACCCCTCTTTTTAAATATAAATTTTAGTATGAATTACCAAAACACATCCCTCCTATGCAGGCACACTTAGAAGAACCTTTAAGGGTTGATCTCGCACTCAGGAAGGCATCTGACAGGGCCATCCAGCGACTTCCTACACTCTGTCATTAAAAGAGTTCTCTCCATCCACCAAGTTCTACAAGTATGCCCAGCAAAGGCAGTGCTAGTCTTCCTACTGAATGCTGTGGAAGCAGTTAAGAGTTTTAATTTGCTTCATGTCCCATAAGAAAGAGACACTGAAAACACTCAATAACTATTCAATCCATTATTGATTTTTAATTTCAATCAACATAAAAGTTAATTTATATTCAAGGTACAAACAAAAGTCTTTCAGGTCTCTTAGTAGTTATTTTGAAATCCTAGAGGTATGCAGAGTACAATATGGATCTATTTAAAAGATATACTCACTTTCTGTTCATCATCAGATACTTGTGAGGACAGACAAGTTGTTTTTGTTGGCATGTGAGACTGATAGAGCTGAAAAAGAAAAAAAAATTAAAACAGATATTACTCCAGAAAACCTTATATCTAAATAACATATCTATGTTAAAGAGGAATTCTAATATTATCATTATCACCAAGTTTTGTCTTGCAATCTATACAACTGACTCATGCTTAAAACATGGTTTTCCTGCTGGATAAATATATGCAAAAGTAAATAATATAAAATATTCAACATATAATTTATAGTCAACATACTTACCCAAATATGCAAAAATACTATAAAAGAGTAAACCCCCATTTACATCCAGAAAGACAAAGAACATGACTTTTATTTAGAAGACTTTACAGTGGGAACCAGAAAAGACCCCAGATAGCCAAAGGAATGTTGAAAAAGAAAACCGAAGCTGGAGGCATCAGAGTTGCACACTTCAAGCTGTATTACAAAGCTGTCATCACCAAGACAGTATGGTACTGGCAGAAAAATAGACACATAGATCAATGGAACACAACAGAAAACCCAGAAATGGACCCTCAACTCTGTAGTCAACTAATCTTCGACAAGGCAGGAAAGAATACCTAATGGATAAAAGACAGTCTCTTCAACAAATGGTGTTGGGAAAATTAGACCATGACATGCAAAAGATTGAAACCAGACCACTTTCTCACAACATACACAAAAATAAACTAAAAATGGATGAAAAACCTAAATTTGAGACATGAACCCATCAAAATCCTAGAGGAGAACACAGGCAGCAATCTCTTTGACCTAAGCCACCGCAACTTATTAGATATGTCTTCAAAGCCAAGGGAAACAAAGCAAAAATGAACTACTGGGACTTCATCAAGATAAAAAGCTTTTGCATAGCAAAGGAAACAGTTGACAAAACTAAAAGGTAACCTATGGAATGGGAGAAGATATTTGCAAATGTCTTATCAGATAAAGGGCTAGTATACAAGATCCATTAAAGAACTTATCAAACTCAACACCCAAAAAAACCAAAAAATCCAGTCAGGAAATGGGCAGAAGACATGAACAGACATTTCTCCAAAGACATAAAAATGGCCAACAGACACATGAAAAAATGCTCCACATCACTCAGCATCAGGAAAATATAAATCAAAACCACCTGACAGGTGTGAAATACCACCACACACCAGTCAGAATGGCTTAAATGAACAATTGAGAAAACACCAGATGTTGGCGAGGATGCGGAGAAAGGGGAACCCTCTTATACCGTTGGTGGGAATGCAAACTGGTGCAACCACTATGGAAAACATTATGGAGGTTCCTCAAAAAGCTACAAATAGAGCTACCTTACGACCCAGCAATTACACTACTAGGTATTTATCCAAAGGATACAAACATAGTGATTCAAAGGGGCACATGCACCCCGATGTTTATAGCAGCAATGTCCACAATAGCCAAACTATGGAAAGAGCCCAGATGTCTATCGACAGATGAATGGATAAAGAACACATATACACATATACATAAGATGTGATGTGTGTGTGATGTGTGTATATATATACATATATATGTATATATATACACATTGTACATATATATATAGACATGGATGGAACTAGAGGGTATTATGCTAAATGAATTAAGTCAATCAGAGAAAGACAATTATCATATGATTTCATTCATACATGGAATTTAAGAAACAAAACAAAGGAGCATGGAGGAGGGAGGGAAAAATAAAGTAAGACATAATCAGAGAGGGAGACAAACCGTAAGAGACTCTTAACCACAGGAAACAAACTGAGGGTTGATGGAGGGGAGGATGGGGTAACTGGGGTGTTGGGTCTTTAAGGAGGACACTTGATGGAATGAGCACTGGTTGTTAGAGGCAACTGATGGATCATTAAATTCTACCTCTGAAACTAATAATAAACTATATGTTAATTAAATTGAATTTAAATTAAAAATTAAAAAAACAAAAGACTTTACAGGATTAAAAAGGGAAAATAAGCTATTTCACTAAAAAAATATTCTAGGAGCCAAGAAGATACTCAAAATTAGGTATATTCCCCAGGAGCATGCCAGGGTAAATACAAATGTTAATGATCCAATTTCAGTAGAGTTAGGAAAACAGGTATTTAAAAATGTGAACAAGTCCCTTAGTTATCCAATTAAAATAGAAATAATTATCATTTATAGGGTTCCTGTTATATGCCAATCATTACATAGCTCATTAAGTACATATTTTTAAGTAATTTCTTATTTTCTGAGCTATACATATTCTCATTCCGACAGCCTACATGAGAAAATTAGGATTCTGAAAGGTTAACATACCCCAAGTCATAAAAGCCAGTAAGCTGTAGACACAGGTCTGATCTGCCTGCAAAGCTGATGTTCCTTCCACTACTGTCCCAACCTACAAACCAAACAAAAATTCACTGTTTGCGACAGTGAGGAATGGGGGAAGAGAAGTAAAAGAGAAGTGGGAATTTCAAAGCAATGCTGCCTCAAAAGTTGCTATCCTACTTTTCAGGGCAGCACAAGATACTAAGGAACTGTGGCATTTTTTAAAAAGTAGCATTCATATGGTTGTAGTAAGAAAAATGTAAACAGTGCCAGTAAGAAAACAGTGCAAAATGAGTTCCTCTCCTACCCTTGATTTACTAGTACCTCAGCAGACCTATGTATCCTTGCAGAGACAGACCATGCATGTATGAGCATATGTGAATATGCAGGTGTCTTAATTTATAAGAATGGTAGTGGCCTATTGCTCTGCATTGTGGTGTTTCCCCTTAATCTCTCACAGAGACTGTTTCACTGTTATGCAGGTCTACTTCATTCCTTCAGTAGTATAGTATTGTTTTATATATGACAATATATGTGGATCTCTATCTTTATTTAAGCAGTCCCTAGTCTTTAATTACAATAAACTATGCTTCAATGAACAGCTTTGACCACATGTATGATGAAAGGGAGAACCTTAGCACTGCAGCAAGAGAGTAGTGCTTTTGGCACCTTCAAGTGCTCCCCCACCACACATACACACACACACACACACACACACACACACACACACTGGGATTGTGAGTGCAATCTCACAGATACACAGGTATGTATCATGACTGGATTTTACAGAATACTAACAACAATCTCCCTCTGTACATTCTGAATAATATAAGCTATTGAAGCTGGCCTTGTGACTTAATCACTACATATACAGTGTTTCCAAATCCTGAGTACCCAACTGAACACATTGTTTCAACATGAAATGACTCTTGTCAATTGGAAGATGTCCTTATATAAAGCACGCAACAAGAATTCTGTGATGAACACTTAGGTACTGGCTGTATTTTCACAATTTAAAAAAGTGAAAAATACATAAGCACATCAAATTGGCTTAAGGTTTTGTTTTTTTTTAACTATATATACTTCACCTTACTCCCCCCAGCCAGCTCCCTTGCCCCTAGTCATTGTGTGACACGTAGGCAGTAGCTCATGTCCCTCTCCTATGCCAGAAAGAAAAGTGAGAGCTAAGGGAAAAGAGCAGTGGTAGTTATGGAGATGTGGAGAAAGAGATCATTACAGGCCAGAGCAGTTTTCAGAGAAGACAATGATATTGCAACGAGTCAGGAAAAGTGGCATATATAGCAAGAGAAAAGGTAGCATTTAGGATAGAAAAAAAAATCCCTGAGTACCAGAGGGAGGTAGAACTTAGTATCTGGAGAAAGAAAATAGTGAATATAAGAGTTTGGTGGGGAAAAAAAAAGTTCATTGGTCTCCTGCTGTAGTTATGAATGAGGTCATAAATGAGGCTGAGAAAACAATTAGGTACAACAGATGAGTAGCTGATTGAGGAATTTTGAAGTGTCCATCTCAAGAGTCTGACTTGTTGGTAAAGGCAAAAAGTGCCAAAAAAAATAACTGTTTGGGGGCCCTGTTCAGAGCCTTGCCTTAAACTGAGTAAGAGAGTAGAACATTCCATGCCTAGTGCTACTTCCTGATGTCAAAAAAATTATGGTTAAGAAAGCAGCTTCATAGTTTTAATATAATGACTAGCATATTTTTGTTAAATACTTGCTTAGTAAGCAATTTGGGTGATAAGTAAAATTTGCTTAGGGGCGCCTGGGTGGCTCAGTCGTTAAGCATCTGCCTTTGGCTCAGGTCATGACCCGAGGGTCGAGCTCCCTGCTCAGTGGGAAGCCTGCTTCTCCCTCTCCCACTACCCCTGCTTGTATTCCCTCTCTCGCTGTGTCTCTGTCAAATAAATAAATAAAATCTTTAAAAAAAAATTGCTTAAGAAACAGGATAGGTTTTGTATTAGTTCATCACTAAATTTTGACTAATAAAACCTAGGTGATATTTCTGTCATTTATGTAAGTTCATTTCAAAGATCTGCTTTTGATTGTTCATTTTCTGTGTTTCTGAATACCTGCCAAAATAGTCTACTTAATATCTCTGTGGATAAATGTTTTGATCAGGAAGTATGAATGAGTCACACAGAAGTACTAAAAATAGTTGTTTTTAATTTTTCCCCTGCCACTACCTGACTAGTCGAATTTCCAAAACAAGTTTTAGAATAAAGTTTTTAACAAATTAACAAGACATTACTGAAGGTAAAATAACAAGGGGACAAGAGCTGACCAAGTCCCTCTAGTGGCAAACCCTAAATTAAAAAAAAAAAAAAAAACTTTGGAAGTGGAATTCCAGTCTGCAATATCAATGATCACTTACTATGTGTAAATCACTGTGCTGGGTACTGGGGTCCCACAGAGCCCTTAATCGTAAGAACTTACCTCAGAGAAACAAAGTCATTGATCAATCTCATTCCAAGGAAGACTAACAAAATCACCACCCACACTTGATTACTGTTTGCTTTTTCTAAGGTTTTTACTTTATTTTAAATATATATACATATCATACACAAACATATATATATTTAAATCTATACACACACCACCTACAGGGGGAAAAATACAGTACCTTTAACTCCTGGCAAACTCTAACACACTTTTTTTTAAGTTGTAATATATAATGAATCATAGAAAAAAGTGCCATAACATTTTGGGGT